ACAAAAGAATGTTGTCAAAAAATGAAAAACCGGCAATTGTACATGCAAAATGATGATACCTTTTGATTGTAACAAGACAAAAATACACTCATCTAGACTCTTGTATATGTTAGGGTCCGTTTGATAGACAAAGGTGAAAAAGAATTTCAATTTCATGTTAGTTGGAAAATAAAAACCCACCAAACCCATATAAATTCGTTTTCCATGAAAACAAAGAAAATGCAGTTTAAAATGGTTGTACTTTGGAATTTGATTTTTATTTCCACAATGCAATCAAACGGCCAAAGTGAAATTCGTTTTTCTCTGATGTGACATTTTTCATGAAATTCGTTGCAATCAAACGAAGCCTTAGAGTTAGATTTTTTTTTGCTGTGCTAATATTGGTTCGATTTTTGATTCGTTATTCGTAATCATAATTAGATGATTAGTGTTGCGTAAGATAAAATCTTTTGAAAATCGAGCACAGTTTAAACCAACAATAAACACCAATCAAATACCAAGATCACAATGAGGCTCGAACACACAACACCACTTCACTTCGGTTACCACAATCTAACCAACAAAGAATTAAGGTAAATGGTGGTAGCAATATCACAAAGGGAGGTAGAAGGAGAAAGCAATGGTTGAACTCAAATGAGCCAAGATGACTGCCACTTTTTTGCCTCTATTGCCAACACACACATCACAAGAAAACGGCTACACGCAAATGAGAAGATATATATAGATTCGTTCAGGTCATTTGTCAAGTTGGGCCGTAGACAAACTAAATGGGCCAAGACACAAAACCAAGACAAAGGCTTGAAATGGGCCAACAACCAAAACCAATACTAAGCACAAATTTGGGCCAACACACATGGGTCATCCTCAAGTGAATTGAGCTATGGACAACCTTAATTAATTAAGCTGCCCTGAATGACCTAAATTATTTTCGGGTCGAGTCAATCACTATGGTGTCAATATAATCAAGCAGTAACGTTTTAGCATCATCGTTTGAATTTATTGAGTATCAAAACTCAATAAATCTCCACCTTAATATCCAATAAATCACATGAATAGTTATGCCATTTTTTCTTCACTCAAATTTTGTCAAGGTTTTAAGAGGCCCCTGTTTGGTCAGGGTTAAAATATGATTTTAATCCAAATTAAAGTCAAACAATCATTTTTTCATGGGTCCCCCAACTTTTCAATTACACATTTCAAAAACTTCTATCAAAATCTACTAAAAATCTAATTTTAATCCAAACTAAACACTCTCAAGATATCATTTTACAGTCCAAATTTTTTGTACTATTTTTTCTTCATTTTTATATATTTGTCCTATTAAGCCAAACAAATTTTTGAATGAAGTAAATAGTTTGTAGTTAGTCATTTAAGGAGGAGTATTGTGAATTAAATCTATGTGTGAATGCCAATTGTGTTTTCGCAGCTTTATTTATACATTATAAATATAGAATTTTTGTTCTCAATAGTAATAATAAAAAAATTGACTCCATTTTTCTTCTCTATTTATTCCATTAGTCTCTAGTTTATAATACTCGTATACAACCCCACTACCCAAGTTTGTCATCCCATGCGCGAGTTTTTTATTTTTTTAAAATTATAAATAAAAAAAAAAACAAGAACAAAATAGGCATCTGGATCGATCACCTGACATGGGATATGAATTGGCAATCCAAGATGGCCCATGAAAAGTATCCAACTCGAGAAGGCCTCTATAGATGCTCGTACCATTTTACGCTAACTTGGGTTGAAGATGCAAGATTGTTATCAATGAAAATTCTTGAGCTAACGTCTTCGAGCATATATTAGAGAAAATTACCCAAAACCCTTCTTTTCAAGGTTACAATTCAAAAATAAGTTGATAAAGTTTACAATAGGATTATTAATTGTAATTAAT